TGGGGACCACTGAATTATGTCATCTGTGTTGTCAAATTGGTGACCCCACAACTGATTTTTCATTTTTGGGGAAAAGAAAAATTTACTTGGTGATGATGACACTGACAAAATTTTGTCAATATACCATAATAATGTCTGGGTGATCATTATTACTTTATGATACCCCCTCGTAAATTCCATTGACTGAGTCAGACTACTCTACTTTGAACTTGCAATTGAATTGCAGGCATTGACTAGAACACTGTAATCAGATACTTGATATCTACTTTCACATTTGGGATGCTCTTTGCATGAATCACCTGCATTAGTGATTTTGTTTGTTGTTGGTATAACACGAGAAAATTCTTTTGTACATGTCACAAGTATGTGCTGGCGCAAGACAACGGAAACAGAGAAGAAAGCCACACCAAACATATTCACGGGATGGAGCTCTGCTCTCTCCAACATGTTTGCATGTCTATGTATGCATCGGCTTGTAGTGTTATTTGTTCAAAAGCTGCAGTGGGCTACAGATGAGACAACTGAATCAGAAGATTGGGTAGAGAAAGCTGAGGAATTCCAAATGCTTGCTGAAAGTCCTTTCAATTATCACTTTTGACCTACCCTTCTCTCTTTCTCTCTCTCTGATTTCTGCCTTATCCAGCGGCAAATCACAGATCTAAGATTACATTCATAGTCTTCTATTAACATGTTCCTGGCAGTTTTTGAGAAAGAAATGTTGCTGCAGGCAGATGCTTGAATAAGGTGTGTACCAGTTTGCTTGGAAAAGGAAGAAAAGCTCACCGTTAATTTATTTTATTTTTACTAGAGGCCAGCAACTTCTTAACTGATATCACTCGTTTCAGTGAACATTCAGACAGTCACATCAGCCCCTAAGGCAATGTTTGTACTTTTTTGAAAAGAGCTTTCCCCACCCCCAGATTTCTTGTATAACTTGTTTATTCACTCCTTTTTTATTTTTTAAAATACCTTGAACAAACACAAATAGATTAGGAGAGGTACGATTTTGCAGTAAGTACTTGGATCATAAACGTAGGAGCGTACAAAGAAACATGATTTTTATGACTTGGAACATGATTTTAAAAAGTAATTCGTCACTTGATATGTGCCATCCATTATTTAAAGTGGGACACATTACGAACATATTGCCTTTTAGTTACTTTAAAATATTTATTTTTAAATTAAAAATGCCCCAAACTTCCCTGTTTTATGTGCAATAAATGAACTTTGCTCATTTTTAACATAACAATTGTAGTAACTGTTATGTTACTTTGAAGGAGTAACATGTTACCCCCAAGGTAACATCACAGATAGTATTTGCATTTGTAGAAAAAGTCTGTCTAATCCAGTCTTCTGTTTGCACAATGGCCAGCTGGATGCCTATGAAAAACTCAGGCTGCATTTACACTGCAGAAATGCCATTTGACACCACTATAACTGCCATGGCTTCATCCTACAGAATCCTGGGGTTTGTACTTTTGTCATACACCAGCACTCTTTGGCAGAGAAGGCTTAAGATCATGTAAAACTACAAATCCCAGGATTCCATGGGATGGAGCCTTATCATTGAAAGTGGTGTCAAAACTACATTATTTCTACAGTGTAGATGCACCCTCAGAAATATCAGTGTAAGCGAACTCTCCCATTCATGTGTCTTAAAATGTAATAGGTAGAGTTTTGACCTTTGGGTTGAATGCAATGGCTAATAGTACATCAGCAAGCACTGCTTTCACTATTATAACCTCTTGCAAGCCCTACCCAGTTCCAGCCATCCACATTCCATTCCCAAGCCAAGTGACCTTGTAGCGATAACTGACTGTATCTGTACCCTCCCTTTCTCACAGCTATGCTTCATCTAGCACTCACTACTAACCACAAGAATAACTGCACAGCTAATAACAACAACATTAAGCCAAGCACAGCTAATAACAACAACATCCAGCTGCTTCAAACATGGCAAAGGGAACCTTTATAGA